GGGAGGCGGGGCTGTGCATGTGGCCCGGGAACGGAGGTATGGGGGGGAGGGCTGCACACCTGGGCGCGGGATGGGGGGAGGGGAGACATGGAGCTGCACACCTGAGTCCGAAAAGGGGTGGTGGGGGGAGACTCGGGTCAGCTTCCCCCACGGCCTCTCGCTCCCAGGAGGAGCAGCATCGATCCCACGAGAACTGCCTGGACGCTGCCTCAGACGACCTGCTGGATCTGCAGAGGAACTTACCGGAGGGGCGGAGCCGCAGCCGCGAACTGGAGGAGTACCGCCTGCGGAAGGAGTACCTGGAGTACGAGGTGAGGGGGCGCGCGCCCCCCTCCCGCCCCTTCGCCGGGCCGTCCGCGCCCTCTCGTGGCCGCCTCTGTCCCTGCAGCCGTCACTCCCCTGGCCGCTCCAGGGCAGGCCGAGAGGCTTGTGTGAGGACTGGGTCTGTGTGCGCTGTCTGCGAACGTTGCACAACGTGTCTCTGTGCACTCAGCCCCTTCACCTCTTGTCAGCAGCTTGTCTGAAAACACTCACAGGGGACATTTTTTGTATGGTTTTACTTCTCCTAAGTCTTTATTTGGCTTTTCCTATGTTGAATTAGTCCCTCTAATACCTACCTAATAATAGGTAGTGTTCATGGAGCTTGTATTACCTGTATGTGTTATCTCATTTAATTATCTAACCACACAGGAGTAGGTACTATTATCCTCATTTTGTAAGTGAGGAAACTAAGGCACAGAGAGATTAAACAACTTGTCCAAACCTAGTAAATGCACTCGCTGCTCTAAATGCCTCAGTGATGGCCCTAACTAAGCAATGACCTTATTAGCTCTATCAGCCCTGTATTACCCCCCAGTCTCCCCCTACATGCACCCACTCACGCCCCTCATTTCTCCTTTGGCCTCACATCGGTGCACATTTCGGGACTCCCACAGTGAGCGCCCGCTTCCAGGTTCCTGGGTGTCCCTTTGGGAGTGGGAGTGGGGATTGCTGGTAAGGAAGAGCAATCAAGGTGCAGTGTGAAGATGTAGGGGATCGGAGACCATCCAGAGGCAGAGACCAGAGAGGTGGCCAGTGTTGCCTCCTGCCTGTGCCCACTGGGCCCTCGTACAGCCCACTCCCTCCCTGTTACAGAAGCCTTAGGGTGCTAGGCACAGAGCCCTTAGGAGTGTGGTGTTCAACAGACAAGGGTGGTTAGCATCACGCTCTCCAGATGCCAGTTGTTAAAATGCTATTAGGGCTTAATGTAGATGGGAGCTGTTTGTGTGAAGGGCTGCGCAGTTCTCAGGCATAGTGGGTTACACATCTTTGAGTGCCTTGGAGATGTTATGTGATATGGAGTTGTTAGTTACAGCACCACAAGGTGTTGGTTATTATTAGAACAGGCCTGGGCTGATATGTGCCATTAGAATACCACCAGAAGTGTGCTCTGCAAAGTCTGGTTGCTCAGGCATCATACAGATACTTGCTGTCGGTCCAGCCCTCCTTCGGCAGAGGTCTGTATCGCACCATAGCTCTGTATGCCTGTGAGCTGTCCCTCACAACTCCAGCCCCTTCCCAACCTGGAACCCAGATGGCCCTAAGGCAGTGGGACTTGTGTGTTCCAGAAAACCCGCTATGAGACCTACGTGCAGCTGCTGGTGGCCCGCCTGCACTGCCCTTCCGACGCCCTGGACCTGTGGGAGGAGCAGCTGGGGAGGGAAGCTGGAGGCACCCGGGAGCCCAAGCTCAGCCTGAAGAAGTCCCACTCGAGCCCTTCCCTGCACCAGGACGAGGCTCCCACCACGGCCAAGGTGAAGCGCAACATCTCAGAGCGCAGGACCTACCGGAAGATCATCCCCAAGCGGAACCGCAACCAGCTGTGAAGCCGATGCCACCTCACCTCATGCTGGTCCCTGCTCTGGGGTAGACCTGAGATGATTCTCCGTGGAGGAACCTTGTTTCAGTGGGCCCATGATGAGGGACGGCAACGTCAACTCCCATGCATTCTGGAGCTTTCCTGGTACTGCTGTGCCCCCACCCGTGGCAGTCCCTCAGCTGCCCCAGTCCCTGACCACTCCTGAGGGAAGATGGAGGTTGAAGACTTGGCTTCACTTCCAGAGTCTGTCCCATGTCATCTTCCATTGCTGAGAATCCAGACTGGCCTCATTTCCTGAGCAACTCAGCGCTTGTTTGAGAAGCAGAGCATATGTGGGCTTCTGGGAGAGAGCTTGGGGCAGCAGAGGTCTTTGTGCAGTTCAGCCAGTGGACTCACAGCCTTGAGGATGGTCTGTTCTAGGAATTAGGCTACCTGCGGGGGAGGCCCCAGGAGAGCAGACCAGGGACCTTTGGGAGATCCCAACCAGCTTCCTGTGACCCAGGGGGCAGGGTCCCTTAAGCCCTGCCCACTGAGGAGACAGCCTTCTGGGCCAGGACCGTGGCAGGTTTCAAGGGCTCCGTAAGGCTGTGAGGTCCCGTGTCTTTGTCTCCTGGCTCCTTTCCCCCTACAGTCGTCCATGTACCAGGGCAGATGAGAGAGCCCCACATGCCCAACTGCTAATCATCAGAGCAGAGCCGATGGTGTGAGGGAGGGCTGGGAGGGGTAGGAGCCTCCAGAGCTCTGCCGGGAATCCTGGAGCCCTGGGAACAAGGAGCCTTTGTTTCCCCAGAGCAGGGAAAGAGCTTCTCCAGGCCAGCCACTGGAGAAGGTGGGAAAGTAAAAGGTGACAGTTTCCCTGGGGGTCTGCCTGGCAGGAGCCACAACGGGGGGGAGTTGCAAGGGGTAGGATGGAGGCTGGAGACCAGATGAGGCCTAGGTCAGGCTTGGGAGACTCCTCCAGGTGCCCCATCCTACATGCCCCTTAAAGCTTCCTTCCTGAGGGGGCCTGGACTCCTTTCCCACCTCCAGCCAGCTCACAGGGGCTCTGCTGCTCTCCCCTGGGAAATCCCATTGTCCTGCCCTCTGGCTGCCTCCCAGCTGGGCCTGTTCTCCAGGGGAGGTTCCGGAGACTCATGGACCTGGGGCTCTGCCTGTGGGAAGGAGTCTGGGCTGGAGGGAGCAGCCGCCATTGTCTCTGTTCAGTCAAGTGTGCGAGTAGGCTGCCTGCCAAGAGGGGGCCTCTGGTGCCCGCTGCTGCCTGCCGGCTGACGCACTGCCTCTCGGCCTTCCTGCTGGGCCACCTTCCTCCCTTCCCATGCTTGGAACCAGCCCTGGGGCCTGGAACTCCAGAAAGTGGGGCTGACCATCCGCGGCCACGCTGGGGGTTTCTGGCCAAGGCCCGAGGCAGGGTGGTGCACCCAGTGGGTGCACAATAAACACAAGCCAACAAAGAAGGAGGTGTACATGACTGTGGGGGAAGGGAGGACCAGGCACTGGAGCCACCTGCAGTGTGCAGGCTGCATCCCCCTTTGTCCCCTGTGCGTATGCGTGCCTCTGCATGTGTATAGCATGCTCTGCATCTGTGTGTTGACGTGTATGCAGGAGTCACACAGTTACAGGCTGTCAAAGCTGAAGGGGACTTTAGAATCATTCATTCATCTACTCACTCATTCACTCATTTCACAAATAATCTTGAACACTTTTTATGGGCCAGTACCAGGGGATTCAAAAATGAATCAAAACATGTCCCTGATTCCATGAGTTGGCAATCCTTCCCACTGGTTCCCAGCTGCCACTTTAGAGACGCACTTTATCTTTCTGGGGAAGTGTGCTGAAAAGACACATGCCCGCCACACACCCAGGGATTCTGATTCAGCAGGCCTGGGTCAGGGGTATGAATAGATATGTTTAAAACTCCTTGAGTAACTGTGATGTATAGTAGCAATTAGCCACAGTAGATTCCAATTGTCATCTTAAGCCGAATCCTAGCACCAAAGGGACATGATTTGGCTGGATGCTTAGAAGCAAAATGGCCTTAAGTGGGTTATTGGACCTCACTTATTTCCAAAGTCAGAATAAAAGGTGGATATTTGTCTGCCTGTGTGTTGCACTTTGATGCTCCTTTGCTCCTGTAGAGCCAGCACGTCCCTTGCACCTGGGCAAGTCAAGCCTTCAGAGCCAGGTGATGGCTGGCTGGCTCACCTGGTCAAAGCATCCTGGAGGATCTGGTGGAGATGGGATTGTGGGCTGTTGTTATGGCATGTGACCACTGGGGGGCGGGCTTGCCCCTTTCTAGTTCAGGTTGCTTAGGTGTCTGCCCGCTGAGCTGTGCTAATTGAAATTCAGGAAGTTAGTCTGGCTGCCCCAGTGTCATCACCAGAACCTGGACTTCAACTTACCAAAGCCCACAGTGGCCAGGATCCCCACAATTTGGGGAAGCCTCTCCCCAAAAACAAAGAATTGGCACTCTGACGTCTTACTGCAGATGGGGAGGAAGAAAGACATCGCTGCAGCCTATGAAGACAGCCTGGAGCTCCCAACAAGAAAGTGGAAGCTAAATGACCCCTAGTCCCAATCCCGAGAGTGAAACAGATCACCACCTTCTTGCCCCACCCTACCCTCCTTTCCCATCCACCGATGTAGTGGGTTGGTCCTTCTCTTTGTAGAAGGGGATGGACAGCGGCTCTTGGTGACAGGCTCGGGTTCTATAAGATGGTTGCAGTCTGGCTTCCGTTCTTCCTTACCCATCTGGGGGAGCTCAGCCTCAGGGGTCTGAGTCTGCTGTGACCTCTTCCTGGTCTCCCATGATCTCTGCTCAGCCTGACTTTCTGCTGATGAAGTATTTAAGAATCCGAAACCCGGATTCTTTCCTTTGTAGGCTCAGAGTCTTCTGGAGATGGAGACAAATGGGGTGTGTCAGGGCTGAAAAGAGCTGGGCTGGAGGGCCAAGGTGTTGGGGGGGCTGAGGAAAACAGGGTGGTCAGGGTGGACTGATGTCAGATCATAAGGGGCTCTGAATGCAGCCAAAGGGTGTGGCTTTTTGTGGATGTGCAGTGGTATTTTTAAGCAAAAGAGTGACAGGCTTAAGGCTTGGGAGTTTTATTTTAAGAGAATGAAATGACTTGAATGACTAATGCCAATGGGTGTAGTCAGAATATGGCCTGGAAATCCAGATTTATGGAAATCTGAAATTATTTTTAAAAAATGGAAAGGAGAGGGGGAAGACAATGGTCTAGAACCTTGGGGAAATCTAGCCACACTCAATCCTTCCTCTTCCCTTGCCCTCCCTCCCCACCCCCCATGGGCAATCTCACAGGTACTCAGGGGTTCCCGAATGACTACTGTCTAATAGTTCCTCCCCACTGGCTGCTCTGCCAATACCTTTTTCCCAGCTTTTCTGATGCCCATGCCGCCTTGCCATCTCCTGGTGGCTCACGTCTTCCCTTCTCCAGGGGAAGAGGCTGTGACAGACCACACCCTACCCCCACCACCCAGTCAGCCGGCACACCACTCCCTCTTCCCTTGCCTGCCATAGGCCTCTCCCTCAAGGGTCAAAGAGCTCTTTGGGCTTACTTTTCTATCCCCTCTGTTATTTTGCCTTGCAAATATCTTCAAGTATCACCATCATGAGGAAAAGAAAAACAAAACCTGGGTTAGGCTCTTGCTTCCTATGGATGAGCCCAGCTTCCCTGCTTTCTGCGATGAACCCTTGGGATGTGTGGTCATTGCCCGTGGTTTCAGTCCCTCACCTGGCTCCCGTTCATACCTGGCTCTCATTCACACCTTACAAATTGGCTTCCACCCTACCCCTGGCTGAAATGTCATCCCCACCCCCAGGGCCACTGATGATCTCTATCATCACATGCAATGTGTTCCCAGCCTTTATCCCGCCCCCCACACACCAGCTCGACCTTGAGCCCTGCCAGACTCTGGACCAGGGCACAGCGATCTCAGGCCTTGGTGGTCAGGCCCTGGAGTGGGGCTGCCTGGGATTGAGTCCCAGTTGTACACCCTTTCTAGCTGTCTGACCATGGGTCAATTGCTTAGACGCCTGTGTTTCTATTTGCTTCTCTATAAAATGGGCACAATAACACCATTTATGTCATAGGGTCCTTATGAGGATTAAGGGAAATTATGCACGTAAACATCTCAGAACAATGGCTGGCTCAGAAGGAAAGCCTGGCAAGGTTAGCTATTAGTATACAGGCTTGCTGGACTTACCCTATGCCCTGCCCCTCCTCCTCTGGGTTCCAGCTTAGGCTCTGCCCTCAAACACACCATCCTGCTTTGATGCTGGGCCTCTGCACTTGGCTCTCTGCCTGTGCAGGTAACAAATCTTAGTTCAGCTGGGCTTTAGCAGAAAAGGACATTGATCGGCTCCAATAACGAGATGATCAGTGTCCAGGTCAGGTGAGGCTTCATCTGGGGCTCTACTCTGATCCAGTGCCCCTTTCCTTCTGGCTCTGCTGGGGATCCATCTTCCAGGCCTAAGAGGCAGGCGCAACCCTCATAATACCAAGATGACCCCAGTAGCTCCCAAGATCTCCCTTCTTGGTACAAATGTAGCAGATAGAAACTATCTGCTTCCTGGAAATTTCAAACTAAAATCCAGGAGTAGTTTCTTTCAGCAACCTGCCTTGGGCCAGGAGCCCATATCTGAGCCAATCATTAGGGTCAGGGGATTAAGATAATCAGAGCCCACTTTTGGAGATGGTGAGGGTGAAGCCAATACCTCCCAAAAGGTAGGGACCAGCTTCTGAGAAATTCTGAGTACTACAAGGACAGGCGACGGAAAGCAAATATTGGGGAGAAAACCAAGTGAAAGCCAGATGCCATTTCCTCCAGGAAGGCTTCCTTGAATCTTTCTCCTTAAGTTACTCTCTATCACATCAAAGTCTATAACCTTCTCCCCTCCTCTTCTCCTCTCTCCCCTTCCCCTCCCTTTTGTCTTTTTTCTCCCTTCCCTTTCCTTCCCTTCCCTTCCCTCCCCCATCACTCTCATCTGTCTATTTCCAGAGCAACACAAAATTCTCAAGGACAGGAACCAGAATTTTTGTTCTCCATACTTACCAAGGGCCTGATATCTAGAGTCAAATGAATGC